AATACCCAAAATCTTTACCATTTCAGCAAGAAAAAAAGAAAAAAAAGAAAAAATTCCCACTTCCATAAAGTTAACAAGTAAATTCTATCATTTCATCAAACTACACCTATAAAAAATCATTTTGAACCCTTAATAAGGTTTACAACTTCAATCTTAGTTATCCTTCAATTATTTAAGCATTAACAATAAGTCCACCTCCCTGCTCTCATCTATCTTAATGTGCCCTAACTGGATTCCTTCCCCTTAAAACTAGCTTGTGAAAGATACCGGGCATCTCATAGCTTGAATATTTATTTGCCAGTAATTAGAATAATACAATTGTTAGAGAATTTTAGTTTCTCTATTGGTGAAAATAAATCAGAAGCTCTCACAGTGGACTGCATTTATCTGATTCAAATAAACTCTTTATATTCATATCAAAATATTTACAATACCATACATTTTTCTTTACAGCAACATAGCACAATGAAGACTTCTTACAGCAGAGACAGACCTGAGACTGAAACTGAAACAAACAAAATACAGCTCCAACTCAATACCTTTTTGCACAGACTCAGTAGCACTTTCTTCACATTGGCTGACTGAGTTACCACATGACTCTTCCTGCTCATATTCCAACACTCCTCCCTTCATGACAGAAAGAGACATCAGACCTATTGACTTAATACATTTTCCATAGTGAACACCACCCAATGGTTTAGTCATCATGTCTGCCAAATTATCCTCAGGAGAACAATGATGTAAACTAATCAATTTTCCTTTTACAGCTTCCCTGACATTACAATACTTAATGTCTACATGTTTACTTCTGTTCTTCACCCTGTCACCAGTTGCCATTTTTATACAGGCAGCATTGTCTTCAAACACCTTTACAGATTCTTTTACATTAATATTTAAATCTTGCAACAACTGTACATACCATATTACTTCAGAACACAATTCAGATAAAACAATAAACTCTGCTTCCACTGTTGAAATAGCAACAGTTGTTTGTTTTCTGGACTTCCATCCAATCAGAGTCCCTCCAAACAATATTATAATCCCAGAATTTGATTTCCTTGTGTTTATGTCATTTGCATAGTCACTATCGACATAACACTTTAATTTCAATTCCTCAGTAATCTGTATTTGAAGACCCAAATTTATGGTTCCCTTTAAATATCTGAGAACCCTTTTTACACCCATCCAATGTAACTTTGTAGGTGCAGCAGTAAAACGACTCAAAATGCCTACTGCGCAAGCTATGTCTGGTCTGGACCACTGTGATAGTTATAACAAACTCCCTATTGCTGAGTGATATATCTCTTGATCACAGGTTTCACCTTTGTCCGCACTTAAACTATTATAAATATCCGTACTCATGGGTGTGGGAGCAGTATTGCAATCTTTCATATTATATTTCTCCAATAACTGCTCAATTTTTCTCCTTTGACTGAGAATATAACCACCTTTTTCATTTTTCTGTATCTCTACACCGAGATAATTTTTTATTTTTCCCAAATTCTTTAATTCGAATTTATTTCCTAATTTATCAGCAAATTCCTTGACTTGTGGTGCATCCTTTGCGATGAAGCAAAGATCATCCACAAATGATAACAGTAGACAATTCCCTCCTTGTAACTGTCCAGTATATATACAATTATCAGCCTTGCAACTCTTAAATCCAAGACTCTTTAAAGCAGTATCTAAACAGATATTCCAGTTTCTGGCTGACTGCTTCAGCCCATAAATAGCCTTGTTTAATTTATACACCATGTTAGGTTTTGCAATTTCATACCCTGGTGCTTGGATCATATACATTTCTTCCTCTAACTCAGCATTGAGGAATGCAGTTGTGATATCAAAGTGCCAGATTTTATGTTTATATGCCGCTGCCAATGCCAGTGCTAATCTTATACTCTCACTTTTCACAGTTGGCGCAAATACTTCATCGTAGTGCACATTCTTTAATTGTGAAAAACCTTGTGCCACTAACCTGGCCTTATACTGTACGTCATTATTTGGCAATACCTTTTTCTTATATACCCACTTACAACCCACAGCTTTGGTTCCCTGTGGCAAAGTCACTGATTTAAATACTTCATGGTCTCCCATGGATTTCATCTCTTTATCCATGGCCTCCTTCCATCTTTCTTGTTCAGTCTTTGGTAATGCCAACACCTCTTTATAACTTCTTGGCTCATACCACACATTGCAAACCTTTACCTTGCTGGCAGAATACCTGTCAGGCGGAATTCCTTTGTTACATTGCTCTGACCTACATGGTAATAACTGCTCCTGTGTCTCAAGTCTTTCTGGCTTCATGTCTTGTTCAGTCTCTCCTCCCTGAACATTGACATCTTCAATAATCATTTTCCCATCATTAGATGAGTTATTGTCACTAAACAGATCACCGTCATTAAGTGAGACATACCCAGAATTTGCATTAATTTTGTCCCAATTTTGTTCTGCAAAATTAGCAGATCTTGAAATTACAATTCTTTTACTTCCATCGCTAAAGCGATATCCTTTTGACCCTGGCTCATAGCCCACAAACCTGAGCTTTCTTGCCTTTTGCTGTCCCTTTCTTCTGATTGCTTTCGGAATATGTACCCATGCAGTACTTCCAAAAATTCTCAAATGTGCCAGTGATAGCTTTCTCCCATATAGAATGTCATATGGAGTATTATTAATGGAGGAACTCCACAGCCTGTTAACTATATAATTGGCAGTCAATATGGCTTCTCCCCAATATGACCTGCTCATACCAGAATCCTCTAATAATGAATCTTTCATTGTTTGCAAAACACCATTCCTTCTTTCAGCTACACCATTCTCTGCTGCTAAGTAAGGATTTGTATGTTTGTGTCTTATCCCCAACTGCCCCAACCATTGTTGGAATTTAGTTGACATAAATTCAGTACCTCTGTCAGTTTGCAACTGACACACTTGTTGTCTGTACCTTCTCTCTACAAAACTTACCCACTGTTTGAATTGTTGTAGCACCTCTGTCTTACCTCTAAGCAAGTAACAAAACGAATACCTGCTATAATCATCAACAATTATCAGTGCATATTTTGCTCCTTCCAAACTGGCTTGCATAGGTCCCACCAGATCTGCATGGACCAGCTCTAGAACTCTTTTTGTTTGTCTTGTGCCATATTTACTAACTGGGAATGCCTTTGACTTTGATGCTTTGCATACTGTACAGTTCAAATATGTTTTACATCCCTTCAAATTTAGCCCTTCTGCAAACTCTTGCATTTGCTGCAAAACTTTAAAGCTTGCATGGCCAAGTCTTCTATGTAGAAGGTGAACGCATGAATCATGCTCTGCAACATTCTTAAATATATGGGAACATTGAACCTTTTGTCCCTGCAATACATATAGATTATCTTCCTTTATACCTTCTGCACAAATATTCCCATTCCTTTTGATGAGACACTTCCCATTTACAAAAATGATCTCAAAACCTTGTTTGTCTAAATTAGACACACTTAACAAATTATGTTCCATCTCAGGTACACAAAGCACATTAGTAAACTTTGATTCCAAATATGGAATTTTTACATCGCCTCTTCTGATGACTTCTGCTTTCTGGCCATTTGCCAAAGCCACAGCTTCTTGTGCTACTGGAACAAACCTGCAAAATAATTCAGAGTCATTAACAATTGTTTGACTTGCCCCACTATCTATTAGCCACTTGTCTCTGTTGTTGCTATAGCAAACTTTTGCAACACCAAAATGTTCCTTTTGCAAATTAGTCTTCTTTGCTTGCATAAATGTCCTTTGCTGCAAATTATTCCTCTGCAGTTTTTTTTCAGATGTGTGCTCGCTCCACAAATGTAGCAATTCTTTTCTTGCAAAACTCTCTGCTTGCAAAATCTCTCTTTTGTTGCAACTTGGTCCCATCTGCTCCTTGCTTCTCCTCCTCCGGAGACTTGCAGGTCTGGACCTCCTCCTCAGGAATTTCTCCTCCTCGTGGCTACTCCTGAAATTGTGCTTTTCTTGTTCATTAAGCAAACA